TCCCATGACTTCCTCCAAAGTATCTCTTCTGGATAATGGAATACCTGAATCTGTGGATCAGTTTTACTTGCAAGGGCAGTTGTGTCCTAGGGGTCAAAAACCGCTGCCCTGCCAAGTACAAGGCAATAGTTTAGGCTGGCTCAGGCTAGCCTGATCTCATCATATCTTGGAAACTAAGCAGGGTCAGCCGTGGTTAGTGTTTGGATCGGAGACCACTGAGGAAGTCCAGCGTTGCTATGCGAAGGCAGGCAATGGCAAACCATCTCTGAACATCTCTTGCCTTGAGAATCCTATGGGGTTGCCATAAATCGGCTGTGACTTGGTGGAACTTTCCACCACCACTAATGGGTTATGCTGGTGCCTTTAGCTCCTAGAGGTCCAAAACAGGACAAAGATGAAGTGAAAAGGGCTAGAGGGGTACCTTCATCCTCCCCCTGATCAAAGTACGATGATGACACGTGTCCAGCAGGTGGTAGCCTCCAAAGTCCTGTAGGCTTAGCACCATGACCAGATTACCAATTGTACTGTGGCACTATGAGCTGATGCTTCAGCACAGCTGCTGATAGGACACGTAACTTTATGTGGTGATGAACAGCTAATCAGTTTGCCTGATCCCATGTGTGAACTACAAGGATTGCGAAGAACACCTGAATCCTGAACAGCAAATACTGTGGGAATGGAAGTCTGACAAAAAATATTGCTGAAAGCAGCTGATTTTTATTGACACAATAAGGCAAAAAGGATAACGTTTGCCCGAGTCTTAAAAAGAACATTTGCCATAGTAACAACTCAGCAAGGTACTGCAGTTCAGCACATTATTGAAAGTTCAAGAAAACATCTTTTATAAATCCAATAACACTCTTGTTGACTGCCTGGTGTTGTTTTTGTACAAAATCTGAAAGTTCAAATGGACACAAAAGAGAAGACAAAATCCTGCCTTTATCAATGATGGGAATGACATTTTCAGTAGACCTTTGCTGCAATCTAGTTATAACAACAGAATACACAGACTTAATAAACACATTGTAAGAACTTTAACTTTTTTTTTAGCATGAATGTTAAACATAAACTGTAAATGTACAGAGACAGGTACATCATAATGTTGTAAAGACAACAGCATTCAAAACAATGAGTGCGGCAAAGAATTGTATTGCAAATCAAATGCTTTCTGAGTTAATGGGAATTCTTATTTTTGGTCTAAACAAATTTTGCATTAACAACAGAAGAATGAGTAAAAAGAAAAAAAAAGAAAACTAACTCTTAGTGTTGCTGAATCTGCTTGCATTTTGCTTACAAGGCTCTCAGAGAACATGGACAACGTACAGTTTTTTCAATGAATACTTTTTATTGAAGTTCCTAGTAAGCCCCTTAGAAGATCCCAAACCAGTTTATGGTAGTACAACATAGTTTCCATAGGAAATAATGGTGGTGGCAAAGATCCCATCCCAAAGGTCTCAAGATTGGGAAACAGCTACAAAGGCCCTGAAGGCTCTGCTGTTTTGTATGAAGGCATCGGAAATCCTGCCCCTTCCCTGTACTTTATATAATACTCTAGTAGTAATAAGATG